ACGCTTCCAAAAGGTAATAATATGAACCACTCAGCAGGTGGAATAACCCCAGACCCCGGTCACCTTTCTTCCCCCTCTTGGCCTTTTTTCAGCCTCTCCATCTCTCTCTGATTCTCCACCCTGTGTGTGCTAAGTATAGCAGCAGTAACGGTGATGGATTCAGATGGAGAAAACAGGTCTTAAATGTCAAACTCAAATGAAAACCAGCGTTCCATTGACACAAAAGCAGCTGGACACATCCTTTCTTTAACACTCCCATGGACATAAAACATCTTAAAAGTAATCTAAATCAGCAAAGCTGGTTTTCACCAGAGCTCACTTAGAGATTAAAATCAACTTCATGTGTATTGTATAACATTTTTTTTACAGAATAACACCGTTATCTGATCATTGATTTATCTTCATGAAGACGCAGGTGCACGTTAACAGGTTGGATTAAACGTGTGTGGGAAATGGACATGCCAGGTTTCACTTCCTCCTAAGGCCATGGATATGAGATACTTGGAGTAGCATTCTTATAGGGAAGCTGGTGGTTGCACTGTTGTGCATAACAGTAAATAAAAACAAGTTTAAGACATAATACAACACGTTCTCACTCCCAGCGCGTCAAAAACAAACGCTTGGTCAGCCACCCTCCGCCTCAGACCCCTGACGCCAAAAGTGCCCTTTTTCATCACTTATGTGCGAAAAGCGTTTTTTCTCTTTTCTGACTGCAGATCCCAATGCAGCGTGAAACTAACGCGATGGGATGTTTGCTGATGCGGCACCGAACCAGCTCATTTAACCGCACCTAAACCTTAACATTTTACTATTTTTAACCTTCCCCCCCACCCTAACCTTAACCCTCTTGCTGCCTAAAGCGTTACTCTCACTGTGATCAAGCGTTTGTTTCCCATCCATTCTGACTGAGCTTTCGTATTTGCCGCCCACGGGGAACGTTAGAACATACCATCTGGCGAGGGGGAGGTTACACATACCCTCTACCTTTAACCTCCACCTTGGTAGTTGAAACCTCCCCCTCGCGTTGGCTCGGTCCAAACCCGACCAATCACGAGGCGGCTCCCGCCGTTCACTTCATAGAGCCGGCTTTTAGAGCGACCGACACATCACCAACGTGTTAGCTAGCAAGATGGTTAAGGTTAGGATAGGGGTGAGGGGAAGGTTAAACAAGGTTAGGGTGAGGTACAATGAGCTTGTTTGGTGCCCTGGCTGCGGACGTCCCATCGCGTCAGTTTTACGCTGCATTGGGATCTGCAGTCAGAAAAGGGAAAAACCCCTTTTAAGTGACGAAAAAGGGCACTTTTGGCGTCAGGGGTCTGACGTGGAGGGTGGCTGACCAAGCGTTTGTTTTTGGGAGTGAGAATGTGTTGCATAATAATAGAAAAAAATGAATAAGTGTTTCTGCTGTTAATCCAGGAGTTTAAAGTTGGCGTGTACGGTCTGACAGTTTCAAGATCAACACAGGATTTTCGCTGCACTTGTGTTATAGTTAAATCTGACAGACGGGCTTTAAAGTTGGTTTTTGGATTGAAACACAAACTTTTTCTGTTTCTGTTTTGTAATTAATGAAAACTATTTTGAAATTTGAAACGGCCTTGTGCTGAACAGAATAGACCTCTGGTGGTTTGGAGTTCTTACAGACAATTTGTAGTTTTAACCATTCATTTTTGGAAATATCCATCAGAATGTTGTTGAAAATGAATGAAATGATGCCCAGTTGTCTAAAATACATGGGAGCAGGTCTAAGTCTCTGGGCGACGCCATGTTAGGTGCAATGTTTCCTTCTACGGGAGCTCATGAGGACAAAATGCATTAACGGATTTGTAATAAACGGTTACACATTTACCTCTTCACTTGTTGCCACTGATGAAAGGGAGTTTGATGTGCTCGTTATTTTTGCTGAAGTTTGCACTCCCAGCGCTTTTTGACCCTAATGGGCATCCCTTGGTAAGGTCTTACCCCAACACAAAAGTACTGCTTGCTTGCAACAATTTAGGTATGGACTGCCCCTAATGCCAGGAAAAATACACACTGTCACTTTAAGAAGCTGCAAGATCTGTTCTCTCCAAACCAAGGCCAGATATTCCTCAGCGGTTGTCTCTTAGGATTTAAAGACGGACAGTTATGAATTACTCAAAGCAAGGCGGAGACTGAGTGTGTCTGTAGTATTAGTTAATGCACTCCACATGAGTGTTTCTGTGTCATTTATTATCAAGTGTGTGATGGGTTTGTTTTTTACCTTTTTTTTTTGGGTCGTTTGTGAAATTCTTACTGACTTGGAACGAGGGTGAATCAATCAAGATGAGGCAGGTTTTCACTGCATGGCCCGGTTCACACGGCAGAATAACTATGCTGATTTGACCCGATTCTGCCCGTCCCACAGTCTTAAAGCCACAGTGTTTAATATTCTAATATATTTACTTGTTTACTATCAAATTCTGCAAGTCACATCCACAAATTTACAAACTTGTGATTTTTCATACATTTTTCTCACCAACGTCTATCCTAAATATTCCTTTTAGCTTTAAAACTTACACTTTTGTAACAATAATCTGCGTTTAACGCTCCATAATCAATTCCCTTCTTGAATTACTGCAGCTGTTCAGGAGCATATGAGATAAAGTGCTCCGTGTTTTGCGTTTGAGATTTGACGTGAACGTTCTCCTCCCGCTAACGTTGTGCAGGGCTGCCGCTGGTTCTCTCCGTGGTAGCCTTGCTGGTTTGGGGAATTTCTGCTCCTTCTCTCCGATTTTCAAGAACAAACAAGTGCGACCTGTTGAATGTGACGTGTAGCCAATCAGAAATGAGCTGACAAAACCATGCTGCATGCTCCACCTCCACCATCTTAGTTTAAGTCAAGTTTGATCTTCGAAGATGTTAACTTCCAACCAACAGGGGATTGTTTGTGTGTGAAGCTGGTTCTTGTCTCGTTTTTGCCATGCTGCCGCACACCGCCCGCTGTAGGACCACATCTTGAAAATCCAGGATTTTTTCATTGCCCTGTGTGCGATCTTTCATGCTTTGAAAGTCATCCAACAGTTTCAACATCCTGCCATGGGAACCAGGCCTAAGATTTCAATCTAACATAAGTTGCTGTGCAAGCGTAGCCTTAAATGTAGGACTCTCTCCTCAGATATTTCCCTAAATATGATTTAATTCAGGTGATATAATAAATTTCATTTTAAAATGCAGTCAAAGAAGATAGAAGGTGGGTTTTCTCCTGGTCCTGAGATAAAGAAGGAACATGTTTCTTTGACACTGCAGTGCTGTGGGGGTTGTGTGAATGAAATGAGTGTGAAAGAATGAGAAAAGGAGGAGGGGGACCTCTCCATCACTCCGACTATGACCTTCCAGGAGTCACGCTGATATAGAGTACAGAACTAATGCTTCAATATATTATGTGAATATGCTGCATTATCATTATGCCTCCTTGCTATCAGTCCCACAGTCTTTCACTCACACGCTCACGTACGCTGTGAGGCCCAACTTGTGATTCTCTGCACAGAAATCTGCTGATGAAATGTTTGCACACAGCAGCTCAGAGGCAGGGGAAAGGGATGTGACACAAAGAAAGAGGTTCTGAGTAGCAGCTCTACAGATGTTCTATATTGTGTGTGAGTGAAGAGGAACACAAGAGATAACATAGAGACTTCCTGGACAAGAGCAAGGTCAACGTGCACGCCACAGCTGACACGCGCTAATGCATTCGCAACCGTGTCGACAATCTGGAGCACAAAGGCAGAAGAGGACCGACTGCAAAGGAGATAAGAGCAAAATGTCACGCTATTATTTTTTAGAACTCTCAGAATTTCAACTCTTTCTACCCAAGTTCAAGACTTTGAGTTTCCTAAAGCATTTCATCAACACGACTGCTCCATTTCTATCAAACTCTTGCGTCTTGTGATGTTGTTTTGAGAGGTTGAGGCAGGTAATTGCAGAATGAGGACAAAACACACCATTGATATATAAGAAATGCATCAAAAATGACCCAACATGCTTTGTGGTTCAGCACCCAGGACTATGTTTGAATCCGGTTTTAACCTCCAGCACTAACGAGCCCAAAGCAAGCGCATTGTTTTGCAAACTAATTCTTTGCATGCATAACAGCTCTTCTCTGCTTTTACAGTAGGGCTGTCTGTCCATGCCTTTGTAGGCAGCAGTAGCTCAACAGGTAGAGCGGGTAGTCAAGTGATCTGAAGGTTTCAGGTTCGACAGAGAACTCTGCTGTTGTGTCCTTGGGCAAGACACTTAACCCGCCTTGCCAGCTGGTGGTGGTCAGCGGGACTAGCGGCGCCTGTGTTTGGCAGCCTTGCTCTGTCAGTGTGTCCCAGGCAGCTGTGGCTACATCGTAGCTCATCACCATCACTGTGTGAATGTGTGTGTGAATGGGTGAATGATACACTGTAGAGTAAAGTGCTTTGGAGTCTTCTGACTCTAAAAGGTTCTATACATGTGCATTTATCATGTGCCTGATCACAGTAAAACCAGCATGAATGTTACAACACTGATGTCGGGTCAGGGCCCATTTTTTACACTTGTCTAAATCAGCTCTTCTACCACAAAAGTCTTTTTGTTTTTGTTATTTATGTTCTGGTGAGTTTTAATCTCCTCCAAAAGGCACACCTCTGCCACCTGCTGGTGTATATTTGTGTCTTCAGTCTCTTTAAAACGGGAACTCTTGAATGTTTTAGCTTTATTTCTAAAACTCAAAATTAGTAAATGAAATGATTTATTTTTAGGTTGACTTTTTACTGAAGTGCCTTGTTCATTAGTCAGCCAGTCATAAATGAGAACTACTAACATCTTTACCTTTTACACGCACGTCGTTTTTTAGAATTAAGGTTTCTAGTCTGCTTGATTGATCTACCTGAGATAATCGCGCTGCTCTGAGGTAGAGCGAGGTCCTTGACTGGGAAGTCATTTTGTTGACTTCACTCTGTGTGTGTGTGTGTGTGTGTGTGTGTGTGTGTGTGTGTGTGTGTGTGTGTGTGTGTCTGCAGGGCAAGATCGCAGTGAGGCAGCTCTCATCAGGCGCTTTAAGGGCGATGGCGTCCGCTACAAGGCCAAACTCATCGGCCTGGACGAGGTCACTGCCGCCCGCGGAGACAAACTCTGCCAGGACTCAATGATGAAGCTCAAGGTAAGAAAACACTCGCCTTCTCCAGAATGTGCATGCATGTAAAGCTCTCTTGATATTAATTGATAAAAATAAAACACTAAAAGCCCCTTTAGCACTCATAATGTAACGTAAAGTTGTAGGATTCACAAAATCCACAAACAATGGTCCATAAAGAGTTTAACTTCATGCATATGCTGATTCAGAGCGTTTAAATACACGTTTTATACATCACCGCATAGCTCTGCCTCTGTTCGTTGCATATAGTCTGTCGGAATTCTTTTTTTGTCTATATGCAAAATGCCAGGGGCGAAAAGTTCAGGTAGAAAGATAAAAAATGAGCATGTTTTCATTTATAGGGATTATGATGATGAGTGCAGGAGGAAGTGAGGAGGTTAGCCGTATGGATGAGAAGGGGATTGGGATGAACGTCTCATTTGGCAGGACAGGAACAATTATCTGGGAGAGGTAGACAGATGGGGCGTTTAGCATTGAGGCGAAGTCATATAGAGGGAATAATTCAGATGATGGGTGGGAGAGAGATGGAAGCGTAAAGGTGAGAAGAGATTGGCTGTTCTATATTCATTTAAAATAAAGTCTAATTAATGTTTAATGAATTTACCAAATTACTTTTGATTTATTCCCTCACAAAAATTACATGTTCATTATCTTCAATAAAAAAGAGCTTTGCATTCATTTTTTTCACAAATGTGCCAAAAGTTAAGAGTGAAGAGCGCCTTGTTCATTATTAACTATCCCTAACTTACACTGCCAGAGAAAATTAAATAGAGAAAATTGCATTTACGTTTTGTTTACGCGTGGGGAAAACTCCACCCAGCGGAGACCAATAACAGTGAGAAGAGGACAGACAGCTCATTGATCAAACACCGTCCCTCCTTCTCATTTATTCAGACAGGAAATCCATCAACTCCTTTTCTCTCACTTCTCCACCTCTTCTTTCATGCTACTCCTCCTTTTTCTAGCCCAATTCCATCTCTTCTGTGTTCTCACTCCTCTTCTTTTCTTCTTTTGTTCTTATTGACATATGCTAATGGTGCTGTGGGTAACACACAACACCTACTGGAGAAATCATCAGGATGTCCGTAAATGAGTACTATTATCAGTTTACAGGATGTTCACTTAAATTATGTCAGCGACTGCAGAATAGAACCAGACAATAAAGCCCAGAGCCACAGTATTGATATTTTAGGGATTTTCACAACATATATAGCAACATATTGTGATATTTAACATCTGTGTTAAAGAGGTACTATGCAACTTTTTCCACATTTTAAAACATTTTCCTTTAGCCAGTATGTGCTAAAATTACCCTTGACATGGTTGATGAAATGTCACTCAGACCCCTACCACCCTCCGTGGCCAGAATGCTGCATTTGCAACTTCACAGTGCCGGGCCACCATCTGTTACACAAAGATGGACCTGACATACCCGGCGCTGCAGTCTGCTTCCAGCATGTTTCCTGCATGTTTTTATGATGAACACAGCTGATTTGTTTAATTTAGTGATGAATGCGTAGACACTAATGAGAGCTGTGAGACGTTTCAGCTGTTATATGAAGGGATTAAAAAGATGAACGCACAGCAAGGAGATAGGTTTCCCTTTTGCTTTGACCACAGATAATTAATAATGGACACTAGGGGGTGGTAAAAGCAAGCAAAACTGCCAAGTGTGCCTTTAAAAAAGCACTGTGAAAATCATGTTCTTCGACTTCTCAAGTTCCTTCAATACCATCCAGCCGTGTCTACTGTAGCAGAAGATGAGAAGTGCAGGAGTGGATGAACGTCTGACTGCATGGACCATCAACCACCTCACCAACAGGCCACGGTACGTGAGGCTGTACATCTGAGGTGGTTGTGTGCAGTACTGGAGCTCCACAGGGTACGGTGCTCTCACCCTTTCTCCTCACCTTCTACACCTCGGACTTCACCAGCAGCTGTCACCCCCAGAAGTTCTCTGATTCTGATGACTTGGTCATTGTTGGCTGTGTGTCTGAGGGGAATGACCTGGAGTACAGGTCAGTGGTCATGGACTTTGTGGACTGGTGTGAGCGTAACCACCTTTGTTTGAACACCAGTAAGACAAATGAAATGGTGACTGACTTCCAGAGAAACTCTCCTCCTCACTCACCAGTAAACATCCAGCGAGCAGACACTGAGGTGGTGAATACCTATAAGTTCCTGGGTGTTCACCTCAGCAGTAAACTGAACTGGTCCAACAACACAGATACTCTGTATAAGAAGGCCAAAGCTGCCTCCACCCCCCTAAGGAGGCTGAGGTCCTTCGGAGTTCATTCCCAGCTGCTAAAATCCTTTTATCACTCTGTGGTTGGCTCTGTTATCCACTCGGCTGTGGTCTGTTGGGGTGCAGGCAGCTCAGACTGAGACAGGAAGAGAAAGAACAAGCTAGTTCACAAAGCTAGCTCGGTTCAGAACTGCAAACTGGATTCAGTTGAGGAGACGTGTGAAAGGAGGGTGCTGGGGAAGATGACCACCATCTTAAAAAAAACCTCCCACCCGCTGCATTCCACTGTGGAGACCATGGACAGCTCCTTCAGAGGCAGACTGAGACATCCCAGATGTAAAACAGAACGCTACCGTAGATATTTCATCCCTTCTGCAGTAAGAGTGCATTACTCCTCAGTTTACTTGGTACTGGCATTATCCTGGTACACAATAACATCACAGCAATATTCAATCAATCAAATTTTATTTGTATAGAGCTCCGGACCCCACGTGACTCTCAGTTAGTAGACGCCATATTGGCAGGTAAAATAATCTAAACAAACACGGATGTAAACATGAACGTGAACGGGATCGGCTTGGATTTTACTTCGTCAGAGTTTACTTCACACTTTAAAACCGAAGAAATCGTTTTATATAGTCAGAAATTAAATAGACTAAACATCTCCAACCCTTACCGTGCCCCTGGGATACTTTTTAAAAACGCCAGAAGCTGTCGGAGCGGACTTCTTACCGGACCTGGCTGGGGAACCCCTTGGGATTTACCCGGAGGAGCTGGCTCAGGCGGCTGGGGAGAGGGAAGTCTGGGACTCTCAACGCTACTGCCCCCGTAACCCGACTCCGGATACGCGGATGAAAATGGATGGATGGACAAATAACAGATTTACATGTAAGTAGTTTAAATAGAGTGCTGTGCTGTTTGAATGTATAAACTGAACACCAAGAGAAATCACTAGTCTGATTGTTTTCCGTGAATAAAATAAAAATGTCAGGCAGGAGCGTCTCAGGATCTGTCTGAGATCTGTCTCGGTGAGACAGATAATAGCAATCCAAAGTGCTTTTTATGTGTGATCTGACAATTGATCAACCATTGCTTCAAAATTAAATACAGCTTAGCCGGTTAATGGCTGTGATCATAAAACACGTAAACGGCAGCACGCAGAACCCACGAGGCAACTTTTACGTGATGTTTACTTGTTGCTATGAGTAATAAGACAGAAAAAGCCACGCCAAAATAAGTTTAGGAAGCCCACTAAGAATCGTAATAAAAGCATTTAAAATAAATACCATACACAGTTGAGGAAACGTTGGTTTAAGTACCTGATATGAAGCGGTCGCTGCATAAGTGAAAACCTTTACTCTCGGGATCCCACAGCTTCATTTTAGCCCGGTCACTAGCGCGTTTTATTACAATGATCCAACGTTTGCGGCGCTCCGTATCTTGGGGAATCCTGTAGAGGGCTCATTCCTTATGTCGTCCGTGTCTGTTCTGCATCCTGGGGCACAACAGGAATCTACCATATTTCCTGTCTGATTGAGTTTTCTGACAATAACAAATAGTCCAGCTGCCGGCTTCTACCTGCCAAGATGGCGCCGTTTCGATTTGAACTGTTGCATGCCGGGAGAAGTGACGTCAACTCCCGGAGCTCTATAGCGCCTTCCACTTCCTTTACAAAAGCCGAAGGCACTGAACATGACATAAAAACAGTAAAAGAGCAAAAAGACAAAGAGAAGGATTAAAAAATGACTAAAATGTTACGATAAAAGACAGATATGAAAGAAGAATAAAAATCTAAAAATCCATGTTATATAAAAGCCAAACGATAAAAATGAGTCTTAAATCGACTCTTGAAGACCTGCAGTGATGGGGACAGTTTGATAGCAAGCGGGAGCTCATTCCATAGTTTATGTTTATGTTTATTTATTTAGCAGACGCTTTTATCCAAAGCGACTTACAGTTTATAACCTATAGGGCATGTTGTGATCTGTGGGGGAAACCGGAGTACCCGGAGGAAACCCACGCATGCATGGGGAGAACACGCAACTCCACGCAGAAAGGCCGCAGCCGAGTTTCGAACCTGCAACCTTCGTGCTGCGAGGCAACAGTGCTAACCACTGCACCACCATGCAGCCTGTGTTGGAGCAAGGACCGAAAAGACCCCATCACCTCTTGTTTTGAACCTTGTTCTTGAGTTGATGAGCAAATCCTGATCAGCCGAGCAAAGGGAGTGTGTAGGGGCATGCATCTGTAACAACCCAGCCAGTCATGGTGGGGCGCCACCGTGAAGAAGACAAACAACACAACTTTACTTTTCATCATTATTATTATTATTCATTATGTGTTCAATACTCGTGCGATACCGGATTTACACTGCATGTCTGTGTCTCTTGCAGTATGCTGCATATTGTTGGAACCCAAGTTTTTTCTTTTTTGTATTTGTGGTTTTTAGTGGTCGTAGGTTGCAATTCTAGATTACGCCCGTGTGTAAATACATGTACCTTGTTATTTTTCTTCAAATTATTCTCCGAATTGTTGGTGCTGCTGTGGGATCAATAAAGTCCTATTCTATTCAATCAAATTCTATTTAAATTAGATTTGCTGTTTGACCAAAGGAAACTGGCAAAGATGTAAAAGGTGCTAAAATTATTTACTCAGGTCTAGCAGTGAAGCTACTTTTTGACAGTTTTCCCAAGTATAAAGTAAGTCATTACAAGTTTCTTCTGAGTCTCAGTTAGATACTCCTGACAGCAGCAGGGCGTCTCTCCAGGAGACAAAGGACAAATGAGAACATTGTCTCCTACTTGCTGTCTTAAAGTAATGCAGGTTTTAAAATGCTTCCACTACTGTGATTACCGTTCTTTCTCGTATGCATTAACACACATTAAGACAAAATGTAATATGAAATAAAGTTTCTAAATATATTTTGTTAAATATAGGTGTAGCGGAGGCGAACTGATGATTTTATCTGTTATGACCAGGAAGATGTAATATTCTATATGAATATAAAATATTAACCTGTGAGGTCTTTATTGTAATTATTCAAAAGATTCTAGGATTTAATTCAGAAGATCTAGGTTCTTTGCTTTTTCAGTGATCAACCACACTTCGTGTTACTTCACGAAAGAGTCAAGTTTATAAAAGTAAGAATTTATTTTACAAACAATTTAAAACATTTAATTAAGCCTTTGCTGTGAGTGGATGTAACTAAGTGTGCTGAAGGAACCTATGTGTGAATGCGATGTCAGTCAGAGCTTCCTTATCAAAATAAGCTGAGTTCTGGTGGAAAGAATTTGGTTTGCTCTGATCTGTAAAGTTGTTATCATCAGAAGAACATTCAGACGCAATCTGTCATGTCTACCCGTTTCATAGAGGTCCTCTTGGTGGATCCGAAAGTCACAAGAGTCGGCTGACTGCTGGCACCGGAGGGCTGAAGAATACCGTGGTACCGACTCTTCAGTCCAGAGATGTCTCGGGTCACAACAGCTGGACGGAGCCGTGCGTCTGGCGGACTCTTAAGGAGTCTAACAGTATCAGCTTTGTTTCTGCAGGAAATGTTTGCTCAGCAGCTTTGCAGGTGCAAAAAGGTTTTGATGATGTGTCAAAACCGTTGATGGTTAAAGAGGTTTTGCTACAGATGGCCGGTCTGAGCGATTCTCTAGAACTGTCGAATCTCTCAGAATCTCCAGTTTTAGGGTTTAGCTGTTATGATTTTCACAGCCAATCAGAGGCTGACAGGTTTGAGAGACGTTACCAAGACAACTCAGAAACACACCTTCTTGATACAGGACGTTCTGACTGGGTTAATACTATGAGTGTCAGGGTTTAACTTAAACATGCTTGTTTTGTGTGGAGCAGGTGGAGAACCTTGTTGTTGTGGTGAACACGTGGCAGGTTCTAGTAGACATCGTAATATAACATCCATTCAGTGTGCACAGATAAATGAAGCATTTCATTATACTATAACTATTATAAGTAGAAATAAACAAATGTTTATTTAATGATTATCTAGATTATAAGTGATCGAAGGAGTTCATATTGATTTATTAAATCATTTTTGAATTTAGCAACTGATTGGAGCTGGAGTTCTTTCTTCTGGAGGCAGGCAGATGAGACCTTGGGAAAGAAAGTTATTGTCTATCTTTCAGACTAGCAGAGTTTGTGAATCCCAGCTGGTGTGAAGGAAGACTCATTTTAAAAGGAACACATGCAGTGTTGTGTCTCCTTTCTGACCAGATGGTGAAAGGTCAGGCTGTACCTAAACTGACCCTTGCTGGACGCGACATAGGCATTTGAGATGAATTTGTATCTACATGTGAAATCTGAACAAGAATCAGGATAATCAGATCTGCATCTTTGTTTATGATTTTAATCCTTCAGCTGTGTCTGTTGCTGTCCTGTAAACTGGAGTTAAGTGGTGTTTACATTTAGTAATGACCTTGTCAGGTTTATAAGTCTCACAGAGCTCCTTTCCTGAACAGCTGGACTCTGACATTCAGCTGCTGACTGGAATATAAAGAGGTGCTTTTTAACATTACCTATTCATTTTAACAGGAATTCATGTACCAACAACTGTAGACTAAACATCTGCCAGAGTCAGCTGATGCGTGATTATAATCAGTCCTGACCTAAACAGGCTGAACTTCCTCTCATCAGTTTATTTTATGTAGGTGTCCTCTAGATCAGAGGTGTCAGTCCTCAAGGGCCGTTCCATATGTTTCAGTGGTTTCTTCATTCAATCGATCTTTGAGCTGACTCTTCAGCGTCTCCAGTTGCTACACAGTACCAGTTGATCCAAAGCTGGGGTGTTGGAGCAAACTAACATCTAAAACATGAATATATATTTATTACAATCGCATCCCCCGATGAAAAGTTCAGTGGTCCTGATCTAAAATAGCTAACTCGCCATAATAAAAGTTGCTTTCTTTAACTTAGAGCCCTGGTTGTTCCTTATGGCCAGAATTTGATGTCACCATTTGTTTCTTTAAGAGGTTTACTTTCCTTGAAAATGTCTTTGTCTACTTTGCTCTGATAAAAACGCTACCAAATAGGGATCATGTTCATATTCATGACTCAGCAAAAATACTGAGAAAGAAGATTTGCAGCTTTTTCATTTTCTTTAGTTCTTCATAAACACAGAGTTCAAAGGGTTTGTTGTTACCTTTGCTGACATATTATGAAGGTTGTCTTTTGGGTGTACCAGTCTTTTCCTAACTGTCATATACGGTTCTGTTGGTGTTTATCTTGTGTTTTTTCATCGCTGTTATAATCTTCTCTGTTATGCCTTTGATGTATGGAAGGGTTATTACTGATTTTGGCTCGGTGTTTTTTGGTATTTTGGAGCGGGCAGCAAAGGGCGATATCGTCCTCTGCTGCCCGCGGATTAAAGGAAGTGACGCCATCAACATCCGGCGGTTGCTATGACTAAGGCGGCAGTGAATGTCGAAATATGTCAGCTAAGGTAACAACAAGCTCTTATCAGTCTGTATAACAAGAACTGAAGAAAATGAAATTGGATAACCAACACGGTGCGAACGTAACACAGAGATTTGTAGCTGGTTACAGAATCTCCTAAGATGTATATTTTTCTTTTCAGGCATTCAATATAGTCTCATACTGAAGTAGTATTACCATTTTGGTGTGTGGATAAATAATATAAGTTAACACATGATTATAAGTTTTACATTCTTAAAGGAAACATAGTATGACTTTTTTCTTAAGTTATAATAGTTCTATGGTTGATACCAAACATGTTCATAGAGTCCTTTGCACTAGATCCCTCTCACATAAAGCATTTGTTGATAGTTTCAGAGCTCTGTCACTTTAAGAAAACAAGCTGAAGCTGGCCACACCCACGCATCCCCCACTCGGGTTGCTACCAGCTGATAAGGCAGGGGTTTGTAGTAGAGCCGCTGCTCCAGCAGCAGCTCTCTCTTGCACGTGAGAGGTGGCTCTATCATTGGCAGTTGTAGGATGGGGTCACAGGGGCACTGACCCCTGCTGAAGTCTGATTGGCCTCCTAAGTTCCTCTGTCCTGTCACTCGCCTGTCCTTTGTGTGACGACTAGATAGTTGAGTGAAAACCAAAGTCCAAACACTAGTGATGCTAATGATCCATACAGGAATTTCCATTGGAAATTTTAATCTAAGGATTTTAGACTAATACTTGACCCCTCTATAAATATTGTGGCCCCTTGATGGCCTTGTACTCAGAAACCAGCTAGATCCGGTGTCGGTACAAGATCTGCTACGGTTTTAGATCGGCTCGGGGTCCTTCGACTGCCGATGACGTCAAAGTACGGCAAACCCACTCGGACAAAATACACTACACATTTATACTGTTGGAAAGAATTTAGCAGTTTCGTTATTAAAATAATGTTTCTTAAGACGTAAGTTTGTTAATGGTTAATGGTATTTGTAAAATAAAACACTATATTGTATTCATAATGTTGAACTCCTCTTTGAGCACATCCCTTGAAGGATCATAGGTATTAGCAACACCTGTGAAATTGTATTTGCAGGAAAGAAGTGTGTCCCGTTTATTGAAGTATTTTGTGTTTAGAGTTTTTGACGTCTTGTCCATGCGTAGTTCAGTTACGCTCATAGCTGCTAGCCAAAACTCTGGAGTTAAAAGTTTTCTGGCTTTACTAAAATACCTGTCTGTACTTATTTGATTGATGGTAGTTTTACTTTCTATTAGACTCCAAATGTAATCATTTGGCACGTTTCTAATTCATAATTTGTAAGAATGTAATCGGTGATATTAGCATTAGCATTCCTATGGGTTTTTCCATGTATGTTAGCATTGCGCTAACCATTCGCTGCCAAATTGTAGCCTTTGCGATTAGAAAATCTAATTTTGTCACATCGCAATTTAATTGCACACGCAGTTAATCGTTCAGCCCTAATTTACATGCAGCTCTATGCTAAAAGTGTATTTTCAAAGAGGTAACGATGGATTTCTTTGTAAAAGTTGTCCAACAGAAAGATTTGCCTGGACCAACGTAACGTGATAACAACATAACGTGATTACGTAATTCCGTAAGGTTCATGTTCAGCCAATCAACTACTTTGACGTCATCAGCAGTCGACGGACCCCGAGCCGATCTTGCACCCGTGCAGATCTTGTACCGAAACCGCCACTGGTTTCTATTCTCTTTCCCCATTTGTGACATCATAACTGGGGACTTTTTGAAATGGCTTGTTATGGCAGCATAAAAGGATGCAAAAGGTGGGTTTTGCATAAAGTGTCCCCATTAAAAATAAAATAAAACACATACTTAAGGAAACCTTGTTTAGAAATGTGCAAACTTCTGTGATAGTAAGTTGTCCCACTGTGGAGTGATACCCATGTGTTTGGCTCATTAATAATTCTGTTGCTTTGAAAATCCACCAAGAAAAGAATCTCTTAAGAGATTCAAGGAGAGGCTCTCTCTGGGTGTTTCGTTTAAACTCTTCATGCAGTTTGATTCTGCTTCTAACATGCTTGTTTGCATCATGTGTGTTTCCCTTCTGCAGGGTGTAGCTGCAGCAGCACGGTCTAAAGGGGAACACAAGCAGAAGGTGTTTCTCACTGTTTCATTCGGAGGGATCAAGATCTTTGATGAGAAGACGGGGGTAAGCTCTGACGCAAATGTGGGTCTGTTTGTTTGTGCTCCTCTGCATGGAGCACTTGGATGTGTGCGTGTGTTTGTGTTTCCTCTGTTAATGAGGCCTCTCTATGAAAGCAATGGGCCTTTGGGGAAATTAGGAGACCCTAATTGAAACCCTGAGAACAGGGCCTTAGTTGATGAGAGGACATGGCTATCCCATTGTCTGCCTCTGGTTTTATACTGTGCTCCGGGATTACACGTTTGGCATCTTACATATGCATTCGCTGACCAATGGGATCGATCCCAACTTCTTTGTATAAGTGCTGCCAGTGCTTCCTCCTAGTCAATTTTTAAAGGAAACCATTCTTAACGCTCTATTTTCCTCAGTCGTGTTTTCCACCGATCTCTTTGGCAAATCCTCAAAAAAACTGACTAAACAGGAGATTTTCTTGGCTTCTCTGAGACGTCCTGTCATCTTGGAGATTTACAGCAATGGCAATGCAGCCTTAAATAGAGGGCGCCCTTTGGAGAGACACAACTCAGAATTCAGTTATTAAATGCTGTTGCAGATGGAGTGTGCTTGTAGCTCAAAGGAAAGTGGCCGAAAGTGCCGGGTGATTTCTTTTTAAATTTTCCTACCCCAGGATCCGCTGACAGCTTTTATTGAGCTCCAATCCCCTGACCGGCCGTACCTGTTAATGGATCCTTCAGCAAGAAATGTAATGCCCACAATTCCCAGGAAACAGGCTTTCCTGTCGCTAAACAGTTTTTCTTTCTTTTAGTGTGAGAGATTGAGAGTTAGTGCCACAATAAATTTCAGTAACGTGTGAAAACAAAAATCATCTTTAAAGGCACGGATTTGAAGGTGTTTGGTACAGTTTTCCCTTGAAGCCTGTTAGGATCTTCTGTGCGTGTCTATTTTAACGCTCTTTGTGGCAGCTGAAGGGGAACGTGCCAGATTTCTATAACACAACACATCTGTTGTTGTGTGTGTGATGTAAATGCGAAAGTGTGTGTTTCACTTCCTGGATTAAGCACAATATGAGGCTTGCTGCACAACACCTGGTGTTTAAGAACAAGATTTACACCTCAGCATGGTGTGTGTGTGTGTGTGGTAATTGAAAATTGTCCTGCATCTTAAACAGACACGTGCTAACGTGGCACCCGCCTCGGACCTGGAACAATCTCATCTTTCACCTTCCCTTCTCTCTTTACGACCCTCATAAACCCGGGTCTGACTCCACTTCTCCATAAAGGGACAAAGTGATAAAGCAGCAAAAACAAGAGGTAGTTAGAGAAACAACGGAGGAAAGTTGGAGGATAAAACAAATGAGAAAAGGGCAGAAGAGAGAAGGTGAGAGGAAACGAGGTTGTGAAAAAGATTGATGCAGGAAGGTTGTGATTGAGGGACAGAGACAGACTGAAACAGAGTTAGAAATATAGGGAGAGAATCAGTAAGCATATGTCAAAGTAAAGCTCTCTTCAGGGAGACCTTGTCCTCTGTCTCCACACATTAATATTAACTATAAAGATACGCCGTCCTCACCATCAGTCCTTCAACCTCTCCTAATGCCGAGGGAAGAGAGGGAGACGGAGGGAACAACTTTGCTTAGGTTCAGGGATCTTGACAGTCTCATTCCCCTCCTGTGCATCAGTCAGCCAGATGGGGGGATGGATAGACGGATCTCTGGGAGAGCAAATGGATGAATGGCCTCTCCGCTGGAGGAGGGAAGGTCATGCAGAATGGAGGGAGGTGGTGCTCGAGATGTTGGGGACATTAATCTAACAGAGAGCAGGTCGGCAGGCCCTTCTTTTGGTCTCATCTCACACACACACACACACACACACACACACATCCAGAGGGTTTGTCCTTGGTGCCAGAGAATTCAAGCCTACATGTCAAGAGTTCTGAAGTTCTGGTTTTTAATGAATTTTATTTTATTTTTATTCTACACATTCAGTTTGCTTCTTTTCAGACGGTGAGTTGGGTGAAGGAGTTTGGTTTGGATCTCAGGGTCATCAATAAAACGAACACTGAGGACACGTCCCATTAGAGAGGAGGCGGTTTGGGAACAGGGATGAAAGCATGTTGAGATTTGGATCTGTTGCAGTGTCAGTGCAGGTCATTCTTCTTTTATTTTCCTCCATGCTCACCTGAGCGCTTAACTACAGTCATGAAGATAATCTAAAGTGTCAGATCTGTTTCTGAGATCTACAGGGTCTCTTAAATCCACTCTCACTGATCCCGCATGAACATATCAGTGGACCCTCGATTCTACCAGACATTTAAGTGGGGAGATATCACAAAAGAAAAGACAACAGTTAGTTGCCAATTTCATTTGGATGCTTCTTCCTAACAAGTTTCTGACTGGAGAGACTTGTTTGACTGAAGCTGTTGCTGCAATGATGTTGGCCAATTTAGTCCCTAAATCAACACTGGTAGATATTTGTAATAAAAGCCAAGAGATCCTCTCTATTAACAAAACATAAAATGCTCTTTAACAACCCCAACCATTATCACCACTGTTGTATCATTTAGAGAAAATAATGAATTCAGTATGAAAGAGGCTGTTGGCAGAAAACTCCAATGTTTTATTTAGATGCTGCACGATTGGACAAGCAGCTTTTATGTGACAACTGGAGTGCTCTGTCTGTTAAACCAACAGCTACAGTTTTAAATACAGTAGTGTCTCTTTACTCTGCAGTGAAGTCATTAAAGAACGTTGTCACTGGAGTGAAGTGGTTATTATTGGATGTCATTAGGATGATAGAGCACTGGTAGCACCTATATGTTGTGTTACTACTATAAGAGTTATCCCGGGATATTCCAGTAATGTAACAAGGAAACTACAATGGCTTGATCCTCTCAGCCGCTGTGTCTCCATACAAAATCAGCCCTTTTAGTACTTTGCTAAGATGTCAGTGTATCATGAAAGTTTTGTCACTGATCCTCTGCCTTTGACACTGTTGACCATTCTATCCATTCGGGTGTGACCAAGATGGCGCCAGTGTTGCCGGCCTGCCGTTTGTCAGCTTCTTTTCTTTTTGTGTTTTTATTGTTTTTAGCCTATGCGTTACAATACGTTAAATGGTTTAGCCCCTCCTTACTTGGTGTCACTACTTCAGCCATACACCCCTTCACGGTCACTCCGCTCGGAGAACTTCATGGTCCTCTCGGTCCCAAGAACGCGCCTAAAGCCGTGTGGTGATAGGGCTTTTGCTGTGGCAGGTCCTAAGCTTTGGAATAAGATTCCTCTGAGCATAAGGGCCTCCACCTCTGTTGCGGTTTTTAAGGCAAGGCTAAAAACATATTTTTATGACCTGTCTTTTAACCTTTCTAACTAGTTTTATTGATTTACTTATAGCGATTTTACTCACTGTAGTTTTATCTGTATCGTGTGATACAATGTTTTATTTTCTGGACTAACTGTTTTATGTTTTTATTTGATCAGTGTAGCGCCTTGGTGGCATCTTTTTGCCTGTAAGGCGCGATTTATAAATAAAGTTGAGTTGAGTTGAGTATTGTTGGACAGGCTCGAGACATGGATAGGTATCAGAGGCACTCCTTTGGAGTGTTCCACTCTTATTTTTCTGACAGAACTTTCAGGATTCAGATTAATGGCTGCTCATCTCCATGTCTGCACTTCTTTGGGAAGTGCTGCAAGGTTCTATTCTTGGGCCTCTACTCTTTTCTATCTATATCCTTCCCTTAGGCAAAGTCCTGGAGAAATATGGCCTTTATTACCACATTTATGCAGATGATTGTCAAATCTACCTGACCATGAATGACTCGAATGCCCTCTCACTCCTTGACAAATGCTTAGCCAAGGTCAGGGGTTGGTCGGCGGACAATTTTCTGAAATTAAATGAGCTTAAGACAGAAGTCATTCTCATAGACCCCTCATAATCAATCTCACTCGTCTCTTGTCCCTCCTGTTCTCACGTTCAACCCTGAACAGTGTGTGACTAGCCTCGGGGTTAAACTTGATGCAGATCTCACGATGGCACCTCAGATTAATGCTGTGGTTAAGTCTTGTTTCTTCCAACTTCGCTGGTTAATTAGTCTAAAATCGATCTTGAAGTTACCACACAAATCTGTCATCCATGCTTTTATAACTTCCCGCTTGGATTATGCCAACTATATCCTCTTTGGTGTCCCAGCTTCAGCTCTAAATTGACTCCAGGTGGTTCAGAACGCTGCAGCCAGGTTCTTGACAAACATTTAACAAGCGTTCCCACATCACTCCTGTTCTGGAACATCTGCACTGGTTACCTGTAAACTTACATGTCAAGTTCAAGCTCCTGACCTTTGTCTTTAATACTTTGAACGGCTCTGCCCCAGGATATCTTTATGATTTGATTAATCCCTACGAGCCAAACCGTGCTCTGGGGTCAGCTGACAGTCTGCTGCTCTGTGTACCACCAATGAGATATACATCGCAGAGTGAGCGGGCTTTTATGTATGTGTAACAGAGTAAATAGTGTCATTCCACTTGCCATCAGTAAAACAGTTGAAAACGTCTCCGGTTTACGTGCTAACGTATCCAGCTGCGCCTGAGGTTAGTCAGTTTTAAGACGGAGCCGTTCGAGGTAGGTCGGGTTCTATCAGTGCACGTATGTGAGGAAAACTTTCAAAGTTATTTAATACTTATTTCAGTCTTTTTATTCCAACAGAGTGTGCTGTTTGATTCTACCAATCCTACCAAAAGCTAGGTTTCTGACCAGCATTCCTGTGTTAACAGATTAAATGCTGGTGTCAGCAAAAACTTCGTCTCAAGACTCTTTGTACAACACAACGCAGAGTTAATAAAGAACTGGACCTACCAGTACCAGGGCTGGTATGGTTACATATGCTGCCCCCACTCTATGGAATGCACTCCCACTCTCAATCAGGCAGGCTCCCTCCTTCTCTCATTTTAAATCAGTTTTAAATACTTATTATTATGATATGGCTTTCTCTCATTGTTGATGTTTTCATGTTTTATTGTGCTGGGTTTTATTGCTGTTCTTGCCATGTTTGACTCA